CTCACTCACTCACTCACTCACTCACTCACTCACTCACTCACTCACTCACTCACTCACTCACTCACTCACTCACTCACTCACTCACTCACTCACTCACTCACTCACTCACTCACTCACTCAGCTTCGCATGCTCTTTCAACTACATGTAGACCACAAAAAGAAAGAAGAGCTTACAAACACGTTCTGTACCAGCTAGGGGTAGAAAATGAAACAATTTTTTCTCATGAGCATCCTGAATGTCATTGAAGTTCAGTTCAGTTCAGTTGAAACATTGGGGAAATTATGTTACAGACAGTTTTGCCGGACAAAATTCTAGTATATGAGCAAGAAGCCTAATACATGTATTGCAACTTAAACCTGCTTTCAAGCAATGGAGTTATAAAATCCTCAGTCCATTTTTGTTCAACCATGGTTCAACAGTTCTCAGGTAATTATTCTGATCAAGGAACAATTGTTATGCGGGATGAAACTAGTTTAGCTATTGTTCTTGACATGCAAATGCCACTGTCCAATTATCAAGTTGGACTATTGTTGAGTTACACGTCGAATTACAGTACCCCTATCTGGGCAGCTTGTACTGGGTCACCCAGTAGGAGCCTGAAAAGATGACCGACTATCTTAAAAATAAAACTAGGATTCTCATCATTAATTTCTTGTTCATAATCTAAATCTAATCTAATCTAATCATAATACTACAAACTAGTTGAGGGATAGAAAGATTTGGCGAAGACATGGTTCTCAGCGTGTGAACCCAGGCCATCTGACACTGTCATTATATACAATGTCATAAGGTTTAACTGATTGGATATTTTTTCGGGCTATTGAACTACCCAGTGCAAGCTGCAAAGACCATGTCACCCATGTCAGGGTAGCCCGACCAGACTCTCTAATTTGATAATTGGACAGGTATGAATGATAACATGCATGGAAATTCATTTTGAAGATTTTCTTCCTGCAGGAAATCTCTGCAGGAAAAACCTACTAAGACATTGTTGTAGATTCCTGCAGATAGAATCCTTCCTAGAAATTTTTGCAGGAATGACTGTTTAATAAATATATACAACTGTTAGGCCACACCAATGTAATGTAGTCTCCACCAGACTCCTTTGCAGGCTAAATAAATAGTAGCAATCGGCTAAGGGGAACATCATTGGCCAGAGGAGTTGGCCGGCCATACAGACTAAATATAATGCCATTACTTGTTTCTCAGACTCATTCACTTGAAGAAGAATCCTGTTCTACAAAATTACAACATTACATCAATATTCTCTCAAGGTCACCTTAGTAATTGATCAATGATCATCTTGGTTTTTGTATGTCATAGACAATTTCATGCAGTCTGATAACTCAATGAATGCTTTTGCCTCCCCTTTCTCCAGTTTCTAAACACGTCTAACATTGATCAGATTCTGACTGGAGACTAACTTCAAGTTGTTGTGTGGAAGTTGGAACTTGTTAATTTTATCATAATCACCTCCCCTCCCTTTTGTCGCCCATTTTTAAAGAAACTGTGTTCTTTGTGTCTAGGGGACCCATGTAACAGTGGGGGGTTTATAGGCGCTACAGCTCGCCCCTGTTTCTTACACCCAGGCTACCTGGTCTGCTATTATACATGTACATCCTGCACTGTACAAGCATTTTACGTTCTGTTCCTAAATTTTTGGGAAAAGCAAACTGAATGAACAGCTCTTTTCATACCTATTTGAGATGTTTCACAAATATTGTAACAATTAGAAAATTTTCTATTTTTTTTTTAAATTATACTTTGAAATTATCTAGAAACAATGTGTTTTTTTTTGTCAAAATGGTTACAATTTGTAATGTGGAATATAGCAATATAGAATTGACTCTAGGCCTTGGGCAAGCACTTCCAATTAAATTGTAATTTCTTGTTCGTCCCTCCAGTCGAGGATGACCAGTGCCTAAATTGTAATTTAGACTTATTACAAATCCTGTAAAGATTCTCATCATTAATTTTTTGTTCATAATCTACATCTAATCTAATCATGACACTACAAACTAGTTGTGGGATAGAAAGATTTGGCCAAGACATGGTTCTCAGCGTGTGAACCCATGCCATCTGACACTGTCATTACAATCTCATGAGATTTTCTGATAGGATATTTTTTCGGGCTATTGAGCCAGTGCCAGTGCACCCATGTCAGGGTAGCCCGACCAGACTCTCTAATTTGATAATTGGGCAGTGGTCATTTGCATGCCTGGAACAATAGGTGACCTGAGGTATGACCCGCATGACAAAGCTGCAGGAACAGAATAATTACAAAAGAAAATGTAACATGAATTTCCTAAAGCATTGTACAACTCCTTGCACTGAAAGCAAGTTCATGTTGCAAATTGAGGATCGATTCCTTGCTTTTTATGTTTTCAGTGTACATCGGCTGAGGCTTATACATGATTACAGGATTATGTCACTAAAACTCCAAATATTTTCCTTTTAATTATAAATGTTTCCATGGAGTTATTGTTTATCTGTTAACCATGTCCATTCATTTTGTTTTGTTGTGACCTGTACTTAGCCAAGTGTGGCAGAAATGTGCAATAAAGGTCTTCATTCTTTAAAAAAAAAAAATTTCTACCTCCTCCTTCCAACACCACAACCAATCAGGTCTAATATGAAGTGTTCTTGCTGAGACAAGAGCTCTTTTATGATGCTATCTGATCTTTTTTAGTCATAACCGTTACACAAATGTTACACCCGGCCCAGGTATCAGCTCAGGTAGCACAGCAGGAGCAAAATCCACCTCCTCAAACATGTTCAAAAAGCTTTCTACTAGAAAGAGACTTTTTGCAGTCTTAATAGCAGAACAATTCTTCCCATGTACAGGAAAAGCTTTTGCAGAAAATGTTCAAAATGAATATTCATGAAAGTTATCATCATTCATACCTGTACATCATACTTGTCAATAATATGTAATCACTTATTGAAAATATTAGCTGAAAATGTGAAGGGTGTTTATTGATATGAAGTGATATGAAGTGAAGTGTAAACCATCATCAATCTGGAAGCATCAATTTGGAAGCATCTTTTTGCTTCCCACTTTCTGTTTGGTGTTTTTAAAGTCTGAAGGTCCTCTATCATAAGGCCTAATCATCAAACCAGCCTGTCCACAGACCGCCAGGCCTGTTCAGGCCCGCGGGCTAACCATTGAGCCCAGACCTCTCATGAATTTATCACAAACTTGTTAATTACACAGGTGTGAAAATGTGAATTCTCATTAATTCAGTGGTTTTCATGGGGTGTTCATGGGGCTAATTGGATGCGGGCTGGATGCGGGCTGGCTAACTCAGGCCGCGGGCTAAAGTTTAGGACTGCCAGGCTAAGCTGCTGGGCATGACGGTGTGTGTTCTAGACCGCCAGGCTTGCAATTTTTAAAGTCAAATATCTTGATAAATTTGTACATTCTGACCATAAAAAAAGCAACCTGGTACTGAAGATAGCATGATCTTTCCAATGGTATGCAAAAGTTCACTGTACATCCAGGAATAACAAAGTTGAAAATCAGGGGTTTCAACATAGCTGTCTCAAAATTCGGAAAGTGACATTCCAAAATTGAGGTGACCAGTGTTACCTGGATGTCAAACCTTCATCAACGTACCTCTTAAAAAGACGTACCTCTCAAGAAGAATTCCACTCAAAGACAAACCAAACTTACTCTCCAAGCAGAGGTTTGGGGTTATTTTCAGCGTGTTAAAAAAGCCTACAAACACGCTAAAAATAACCCCAAACCTATGCTTGGAGAGTAAACCAAACTCTACTACTGGATAGATTACGGAGATTGCTTCCACACATTACGATGTTTTGCATGTTCAACTGTTTTTTTTTTTTTAATTCCTTCACGTGACTAAATTTGTATTTACCTCTTGTTCTCTCAGTTCATTTAGTGATGTGGAAGAAGAGTGGCAGATGATGCTCAAACGTCCAGAAGTAATCTCTGTAATCTATCCAGTATAGTAGAGTTTGATTTGTCATTTTAAGACATATTTCAGTATGAGGCCACACCAATTTAATTTCTTGGTTAATGGATTTGCCCGTTTCATTTCTGATTTGCAAAAAATTTAAAAAAATCAGAATCAACTGCAAAATGCTCATATTTTGCCCTGAACAGTTGAAAACAGTCCTTCTCTTCCTAGTTGTTACAGTTACACTTTGTATTCCATCTTTCAATGCAATCGTTTCATTAAAAGTTCAAAATTCATTGTTTAAATTTTGAGCCAGCCTGGTGTGTTGACTTCATTGCTCCTATCGTACCATTTTGGGCCATAATAGGATGCCTAGGCCTGTTTTTATTTTTTTTCGCCTGCCCACTCCATTATATTTCTAGAAAAATCCGTTAACCAAGAAATTAAATTGGTGTGGCCTAATGGTGCCTCCATACATCATGCAAATAACTCTAAAAAGAGATTCGGAGGGAAGAGATCTGCACACACATAACATACACTTCACAACAGTTCAGAAACTTAAGACCAAGTTTATTCCATTAAAAGTTATCCCTGCTTATAGTGCTTGGTATACTTCTTGTAAACTTGGGATTCATCCATTTTGAATAATTCTTACACACCAGATAAACATAGAACTGCAAGATTTGCCAGTGGTTCTTTTATATTTACACTAACAAAACAAAGCATTAAAATACAATATGACCATTAAGTACATGATCTTTGCATTTCCTGCAGTGAACCGAGCCAGTCTTACCATTAACCTACGTCTGCATTTCTTCTTGTCAGTAAGATTGTTGCTGTGAATGTACAAGGCATCTAAAGGTGTATATAAATTAATATTATCTGTCAAAACAATAAATGTTTGCCAGACTTCAGCTCAGACAAAAAATGTCTGGGTTTTTACCAAATTGATATGATTTTATTGCAAGGGTGGCACTATACCCATGTCATGTTACGTGCTATGTTAAATAATAATTGCTTTAAAATTACCATAAGGATATTAAGCTGTGAAGGTAATTTAAAAACATTCTCATACAATGTACTCTACAGATTCATTTTGTAATAATTATTATAGCAATTCAGCCAGAAATACCAAGGAAACATCTACAATGCACTTAGAAGTGGTTTCACAAAAAATAAAACCATAAATTGTAGTGCATGCATGTTTTCCAGGGAAAGAGAGGAGAGTCAGTTTTAGCCCATACAGATATCTCTGTATGCAACAGGTTATCCAGTAACTGCTGTGAGCTTTGTAGTAGACATTCCTTCTCACATACATTATATATAGGTTATTATCAACCAAGGTGCATATATACTGCAACATAAACATTTCTGTACATGTATATGGCCAAGCATAAAAACTAGAACGGTTGCTATTATAACATTATAAATGCCTAAAGCTTGTATGCAGCAGATTAAAATGTAGTAAGGCAATGTTTGTTGCATCAAATTAGAGACTGCATGATAAAATACATTGTATTATATAACATATGCATTATTGGTGTTATTGCTTGATGTCTAGTTTTTTCTAGTCTGTTGTTAGAACAGTCCTCTTTCCTTCTTCAGGTTGGTCTGTTTCCAGAGTGGCAGCAGGTAGAATTCCTCTCTGCTCATGCCCAGGACTCTCTGTAACATGAACAATAAGGAACTTAATACAGATGGACATCTATATATACTAGTACTTCACAATCATTCCAAAGCTACATGTAGGTCACAAAAACAACATTAGGCCACACTGATTTAATTTTGTAGATGGCATCTGCGGGCTTTGATTCTGACTGGACTGTTTTAAAAAAAAATCACCTCCTCCAAGGCTCTGGCCTGGGTGCCATCCTCTGTAGTCCATGGTAGCTAGCGACAATCGGGACCTGGAGGTAACTACGGAGGACGGCACCCAGGCTGCCAAAGTTCCACAGAACTCAAGAACTCAGTACAGTGCCAACTCATCAATGTCGCAAAAGGCCAGCATGTGCCAGCTTGTCATAAAAGTAACTGCAAATTCCCAGTTTTAATTGTATTCCTGGATTTTTTTCCCCTGCATGCACTAGTTTGGGGTTTTTCAAAGGATGTCATCCATAAAATTAAGTCAGTGTGGCCTAAGTCACAAATTAAAAAAAAAAGTAAACAAGCACTTAGACTGCCTTTTTGTTCTACCATGACCAGTGCTCTAGCCTGCTTAAAATTTTGTTTGATGTAAGATGAAGCACCAAAGGCATGCTCCCCAGGAAATTTTGGATTGTCAAGCTTTGAAAAGTAACACAATATCCGGCATTTTGAGAGAAAAATCATGGGGTTGAGATTGATTGTCAGTGGCCCCTTAGATGTTTTTATGTTTTTACCCAAGATTTTTGATGATTTTGTCCATCAAGGTTGACGGACTGGTTTAAAAAGTTTTCTGTCACACGCCTCAAACTTCCGGTAATTGACAGAAAAACATTGGTGCTGACTAGAGATCTGAATGTGAATATTGTGTCCTGTTTAACAGGCAGGTACATTTAATGCAATTTAATACAAAATATGTATTACTAGTACCTCAAACTCAGCTTCTTCTAAATACTTCTCCAGCCTCATGGGGTCCACTCCCTCTGGTAAAGGTCTCTCCATCAGCTCATCAAAGGTGTAGTGAGATTTGGTCAGCCTCTTCAGAACGTCTTTCACCAGAACTGCCTTGTTCCGCACCTTACCGTCCTGGCAACAAGGAGACAACAAAGTCAATGTCATTACTGCTCAGAAAAGCAATTCTGTACAAGATATCTGGCAATTGGAATGATCTAATTTTTAAGTTGACGTATATGGCATTATGTTAAGTTGTGTTTGCTAATTGTTGTCAAATGAATGTATTTATAGATGACTGTGTTGTATACTTTGCGGTGTGTCGTGTTGTGTGTTTTACGCAGCTTGTACTTACACGTACAAAACTGGTGTGATACGCCTAATGACGGTTTAATAGTTATGCCAACAAACAAACAATAAAGGACCACAGGAAGAATAGCTACTGTGACAGTCATGGACATATATGTTAAGTGTGGATCCCAATAAACTCAAACTGACACTGCAGCAGAAACTGTCTGGAAGCACATGACTGATTATAAAAGTTCACATGATAAAACAAGAATTTGGAGATCTCATACCTCCATGAAATATATGAGTTTTTGTAAATGTTTTTACACAGTACACTACAGTAAAGAACAAAATAACACAGGTTTTTGTTTTCAAATCTTTGGTCTGAAATAGGTCAGGCTGTTATAGAAATGGCCAACTGTGCAAGTAGCCTATTCCAGAGGGAGAACCTCATCAATCAAACTGCTCTGCTTCCACACGTGTGCTGGTGTTTTGTTACATAACCGCACATCTGTTTTCCCTGCCTTGCAAATAGAAGTTCTGCTGCAGTACCAAGGTCAGCCATCAGGAGGCCCATATTTGGCCTTGACCTTTGGCTTCCTAAGACCTACCAGCATACCAAATATCATCACAATCCATAAAGGTGTTCTGAAGTTATGCTGACTACAAATGTGCGGAAACACACACACGCACACACAGACACGCCAAAAACAATACCTCCATTTTCCAAAGCTATATGCGGTGATGGAGAGAGCCCCATACATATACATTATACAGCAGAATTTGTAGTTGAAGATGTTACTAGAAGTTTTTTCAGACAGTATTTATCTGTTTCCTATTCTGTATTGTTACAGTACAGTACCTTTGGGCATGATTTTGCTAATGAAGAAATAATATTATAGTGTACTGACCCTGATGTTGATGGCAGCTATGTGCTCCTGATGGTCCCAGTAAGGGAAGATGTTAGTAAAAGTGAGAGGCTCCAGCCCAGCGTGGATCAGGTAGGCCTTAGGTGGGCTGTCAGGTCTCCTTTCTACAAACAACACAGAAAATCACTTAATACTAACTGGCTACATACATGTACAATACGCCTTGTCTCTGTACTGTACTGTACAAACATGTATAAAGTACAATGTACTTATGATGTGTTCAACAGGAATCCTCCAGACAACCAATACAGCAAAGCAGACAAGCAATTTGCCAATTGAAAAACAGCAAAGTCTCGGGCAGCAATTTGATACTTAACAGAATGCTAAAAAGTGCTGCACACATCCTACATTTATATCTTCCAGCTACTTCCCTCAACACTGGTGCACCAGCCATATTGTGCTAAAGACAACCCTAACAACCCCAACAGAACTCTTACTAGAACTCAGTACAGTGCTGACTTAATTTTGTATAAATGCCACAAAAGGCCAGCATGTGCTGACTTGTTGTATGCACAATTAAAAATTCACAATACCAGTTCTGTATTCCTGTGGTTTAGCAGGAATGGTTTTTTATTTGCCCGTGCACACTAGTTTGAGTGTCTTCATCAGAGGATGTCATCCATTAACATGAAGTGAGTGGCCTTAGTGCCTTACCTCTGCAGTAACTCATGGCTGTCTCCATGGCACACTTGCGGTCCATGTCCCACCTGATCTGTGCAGACCCTGTGAACTCCTCATCCTCCGGCCACCAGCCCTGCCACAGGTACACCTCATGGAGGTTATCCACCAGGAACTGGGCTGTACAGGCACATGCACACAAACCAACAGTGTTACAGCAGTCAATCTAATTTGTTGGCCACATCAATTTAATTTGTTGGTTCTCGGATTTTTTCAGAAAAAATATGAAGCAACAGGGCGAAAAAAAAAACAGGTCTTGGTATCCTTTATAGCCCTAATACAATGATTGGAGCCATGAAGTGAACACAAAAGGCTGGGTTAATATTTAAACAACGGATTTTGAACTTTTAATCAAACCACTGCATTGATAGATGGAAAAACTGCAACAACTAGGAAGAAAAGGACTTTCCTCAACTGTTCGGAGCAAAATATTAGCATTTTTAGTTGATTCAGAAGCAGAATTTTTTTTTGCGAGTCAGAAAAAAATGAAAAGGGGAATCCAAGAACCAACAAATTAAATTGGTGTGGCCTTAAACATCTAGGTACATGTAATAAGATACACCAAAAAACAGTTACTCAAGCAACTGGATATGATTTTGGAAATGGTCAGACGTTTCAGGTAGTATCCACTACCTTTCTTCAGTAACACTAGAGAACTTGACTGTGCAGAAATGGGTAAGCCCAATTTCTTGTGTTGGAAATTGCAGTTCAAACTTGTTTCATAATGATTTCTACCAACACAGATGAACTTTCAAGATAGTTGAGGTGTGTAAAACCCACCTGGCTGAGAGGCTGTGTACATGTCTGACTGGAGGAAGGGATGAGGACAGACTTCTCGTGGTCCTACTCTGGCCGGGTGCAGAACTTCTGTCACCAGGAACTGTCCAGAGATACTGGACATCTGGAACATCCGCGGACTGAACTTAAAGTCCACAGGATCTACAGGCAACATGGTTTGTTACAGGTTAAAACATGTATCAAAACATATTCATTATAAGGCCTAAGAAAAAAATGTTGTGTTTCCTGAAGACCCTAGAAAAAACTGCCAACTTTTTTAGTGGACCACTGCAAGGGGCATAAATTTCTTGAGCTGATCGATCTTTTCTAGCTCCATGATCTGACACCTGAGTGATGAAACATCGCAGAATGAGTTTTCTAACATTGACATTGAAACTATAAGTATCCTCATGCGAGTTTTACTTTGTTAAACTGTATTGTATAGTTGGATCACAGGTTGGATCACTAGAGATTGTCAAAGTCTAATAATAAAAAAAAAAGAAAAACATAAACCCTACCTACCAAACCTAATTTTTTTCAAGACTGAAACAGGAAACACAACATTTTTTTCCCAGGCCTAGGGTACATTGGTCTTGTTTAAATGGATGCTACACAAGGATGCTCTGTACGTGTCTTATAAACATCTCCTGGGAGCTAAAAATCTAAACACGCAGAATGAAACTGGCAGACTTTAGACATCAACCCTCCAGACTAAATTTTTAGCTTAGGAGCGCATGCGCTCCTAGCCTCAAAAAGTTAGGCGCGCAGGCAAACATTTGGGCGCGCAAACAAAAAATCTGGTCGCGCAAAGTACTTTTTAATTTAGAAGCCAAGAGAATAATGCAGACAATTAATAATTCTTTCATTATCATAGAAAAAAAATCTAAATTCACCATTTGTACTAAAAGAATTGTGATAAATGAAAGACCAAACAATGATTTTAAAAGTACCTGTCTTTAATGTGTTCAAAGTCACTTCATCTCAGTCGTTAGACCAGGCTGACTGATATGTCGGTCTCCTAGGCCTCTGCAGGGTTGGACAAGTTTTCTAAAATCCAACCCTATCGGGCAAGTGCATGGTCATTTTCACTTGCCCGAACCAACTTTTCACTTGCCCAAAACATAAATGACATATATCTATGCATTTATCATTGCAACAATGAAATCCTTTTATTTTTTGGAAAAAAACACTTAACAGATAACAATATTAACATTGCTACTCAAACCATTTTGTTAACATTAAACTTAAAGGTACAGGTTTTCCACAACAATGAAGACAATCTTCTTTATTTTTTACAACTTTTCAGGTATTACACTACATGTCTGAAGTAGTTTCATTGACAAAAATATTCATAAAAAATAAAAGACAATAAAAAAAGCTCATGGAAAAAGGACAGAGTAGAAAACAAGGGGAAGAATCTATTTGGAATTGCCTATAATTATTAAATAATAATGCTACACAAATGTCTAAATACCTTGAGTTGAAACTTTGCTATTAATATTAATTATTTCTTCAACTGTATCAAAACAATCTACAATTTAGTTTCAGTCGACCTTTGAACAAATGAAAAGTCTGCACAACAGCAATCTGCCCAAGTTTTCCTTAGAGGAGTTCTAGTAGAAAATCATATCAGTCACGCATTGCCAAACTTCCCTATCCTGCACGCTCCTGGGCCATGAGGGAGGATCTCTTTTCAAACACAAACTTTGCCAACAATCAAATATTTGTGGCTGATAAAGATATGTTATCTCCTTGGTTTCCCTCCAAATTTAGGCCAGATGGAAACATCGTGTATGACTACCGGTCGCGCTAGGTCCACTGCACTACACTGCACTGCACAAGTTTTGAAGGCGAGATCTCGTCACCTGACCCCTCTAATGGTATAAGGATATCAAGTCTCGCGAGAGTCGGGCCGCGAGTGCACACCAAATGAAAACAAGATGGCGACCCGGTTGTGTCGGGCTTGTTTTTTCGCCGGAAAATAGCTGTTTTGCCGCTTTATTTCCCGAGATAATGGTATCTACGGACTTGTAATGGGTTTTCTGACAAATGAACATGATTTTGCCTGGCATTGATATGACATTCTTACGGGAAAAAATAAGAAATTTTTGCCTCTAACAGCGCTATAGCCAATAATTTAGGCGCACCGCGGATTCTCTGCCGGTCGCGCAGTGCGCGACCAGAGTAACAAGTTTAGTCGCATTTCTTAATTTTTGGTCGCATATGCGACCAAAACGGTCGCAGTCTGGAGGGTTGCAGACATCCTGACATTATTTTTTTAAAGCATCCAACTGTTGGTCCTTTGGGAACCCACAAAATGCAAAACAAGTGACAATAAAGAATTTTTGAAAGGAGGAATTTGAAAGAGATCTAGGATTAACTTCACTGACAACCTCAAATCGGACACTAAGCTGGCCAAACTGAAATCCATTGTTTCATGGGGGATAGAGTGAGTACTAGTGGAGGATGCTTTAATGTCAAGTTTGGTTTGAGCAGGAGCTCGACCAAGGTAAGTATTAATAAGGACATTGGTCTCATGCATGAAATAACATGATTCAAATTAGACTGTAAACTAGAAACTACAACATTTGCAAAGCAAATGCATAATGTTTACCTTCGCACATGTCTACTCTGTTTATTCTTATTCAAACACATTGATTTCATAATATACATGTATAGTCAGAAAGGAGTCTAAATTCCTCCTGCTTTAAAATTGCAACATGATGTAACCCAACACCAGTTACCAAGGCACCAGCCCTCTGGTTCCAGGTCATTGGCCTTTTTGGTTGGAGAAGAAGAGGAAACTGGGCAAAAACAATATGTTTTCCTTCGGTGAACAGAATAAATCACAAAGTACCTTCCAACATGCAGTCATACACAGTCCTGTCTTTCTCCCCCAAGGCTACCCAGAATTCCCTGCGCTCCTTGCCCTCCTCCATCTCAATGACAGACAGACTGCTGTTTGGAGTCAGACCACATTCCAGGGGACATCTGGGGACAGACAACAGGTACATTTTGTACATTCTATGTTATTGTTAATATACAAAAATGGTAAGCTTTATGTTGACAATTGCACAAATGTATTAGCACAATCCCCTCTACATCATATTACATGTGCAAATGTACACATCCTAGGTACCAGTCTGATCGATCATGAACCCTAACAGACCCTTCTATGTGTTACACGTCCCAGAACCAGTCCTGAACCGTAACAGACCCTTCTACATGTATGTGTTACATGTCCCAGAACCAGTCCTACACATGTTAACCCCAACAGACCCTTCTACATTTATGTGTTACATATCCCAGTACCAGTCCTAAACCCCAACAGACCCTTCTATGTGTTACATTGGCCAGGACCAGTCCTAAACCCCAACAGACCCTTCTATGTGTTACATGTGCCAAGACCAGTCCTAAACCCCAACAGACCCTTGTATGTGTTACCAGGACCTGATCTAAAACCAACAGACCCTTCATGTGTTACATGTCTCAGAACCAGTCCTAAACCCCAACATACCCTTCTGCGTTACCAGTCCCAGTACCTGTTCTGACCCCTAACAAATGTATAAACTTTAAAACAAATGTACAAATGTATGACATTGTACTGTAAGTGTACCTGTCCTGTAGCATGCTGGCAGCTCTCCTGGCCACAGCGCGGGTACCCTGGTGTGCCTTACAGCCGTGCCAGATGTAGACTCTGGTCATCTTGATGTTGAGCAGGAGGAAGGAAGAGCGTGACCTGAGGCGGTGGACGTCCACGGGAAGCTCTCGTAAACACGCCTCCTGCGGGAGCTCACCGCGTATACAGTAGAACCGCCACGGACCTGACAACAGATAGGTACATGTAGAACTCACATTTCTACACAATATAATGGTACAATGTTACAGTTACTGTAGTACTACACAGAAGCACAACATACATCAGATAGTACTGTAAGTTGTGTCTGACTCAGTCATATTTAAGGCTATGGTGGACATGACATTGACGAATGTGATCATTTATGTCATGCCTAAGCCGTGATAACGTTTGATAACGTTACGGCCTGTGTGATAACTAGCAGTACAGTGCGGGGTTCTATTTGGTTATCACACGGGCTTCCAAATGTTCCATAGAATAATTTGAACACATTTCACCTGTGCCGCCCTGCACCACTTTTGAAAATTCGAATAGCAGATTTAGACGTTGGAATTGATTATTGATGTTTTTACAATTTTTTGTTTTGGGACACCAAATTTTGGCACAGTTCACATTGAAATGTGTATTTTCTCAGGTGGGCATGACATAAACAAATACAACACAGCAGGTTAGGCTGGAACCTCAGATCATCATAATGGTGTTTCTATAAAAATGCACTTCACTTCAATTACAAAGTTGTTTTGTAAGTAATTAGTAAGTCACTACATGACACACATGAGACAATGATGATATCTGTATCTATACAGATACAGACAGATGAGAGTTTCAAACAGACATGAGTACACACTTGTATATAACAAACAAACAAACAAACAAACACAAAGTTATAAAAAACAGTCACTGTACAGAGTGTGGTGTGATACATGTAACATAGGTCACATCTATCTAACAAAGTATCTAAATGTTGTTTTAGTAAAGTCATCAACTCAGTGTCATCATAAGTAGCAGGCTTATCATTAGCCTGTAAAGAACAGAAACCTCCATCTAAGTCTAACCATGCTTCAGTGCAGCAAATGTACCACCCCCAATGTAAACATCTTCTGTATCTTGCAGTACTACGTACGTCATACATATATTGACAGACTAGTACATGTACTACAACTAAACTACAAGAATACCGGCATGAAAAAACAGTCTCTCTACAAATGTACATAGTACCCAAATTAAGAATGCTACAGGTACATGTACTACCACTGTGACAGTGACTGTCATATGACAGTAAAATTTAATGCATAATACTCTCACAACAAGTAAGCAGTGATATGCTTGGGGAGAATGCAGAGGGATGATGTATTTGATGTAGGGGTAAACATTTTGATAGATGATCTCAGTTGTGTTGCTTGATCTGTGCACAATGTTGTATTAAGGTACCACATTACAGATTAATACAGACTACAACAGTTACTATAAAAGCCAGACTATAGCTATCCCAAAGCTATCAACTGGAAGACAAAATCAAGGACATGTTTGAAAGCATATAAAGCCCACCAATTAAAAGCAACTGCACATTGCCAATTTGCAAATGACATGCAAGCAGTGTGAGTATCCCTCAGAAACTACTAAGTGAAAGAACACATTAATACTCATACTTAGACATTCTAGGCAACAATCTACACACTGACACTGCAACTGAAACTATGGTCTGACAGGTCATTTCTACTACAAATCTGCTCTGACTGACTCTGATATTATGTGCCACACATATCCACTGGCAAGCATATCTTCGTTTATAATTTATTATTATAGTTCAGAGAACTGAATTTCCCAAACTTGTGTCCCAAGCCAATGAGTGAATTTTGTCACTACTTTGTGAATGACTCAAGGCAGCGAGAACTTTTAGCTCACACTGGTCATGACACTTTTTTTTTGACAGAGAAGACATCAGATGCTACAACATAATACTATATCTGTTCAATGACATTGTATACATGTATAAGCAGTCCTCGTCATGCAGGACAAGGGTTATATAATTAACATCCTGTCCTAGTAGAGTGCACATTGGGTAAGTGACAGCCGGGATTCGAACTCCCAACCTCTTGGTCCAGAGGAAGGGCCGCTAACCACTGTACTACAGTGGATTTTAGGCCACCAAAAGACCCTTTTAAATCACACCACACGACAGACTTCAGAGCCTAAAACTGTCCGAGATGTTTACTAGATACACACCACTAGGGAGTATACATGTACATGTAGATTAAATCTGATCCACTACATTAATTCCTAGTCCTACCAACAAATAAACAACTCCCCAAGACTTGGTAAAATTCTGTTCACAAAGCAATGCCAATAATATAGTCTTCTTGATGAAGGAAGAAAATATTTCCACTTTTCAGGTCATTAGAGATGGGTTAAATAAAACACAAACCTCTCACTACTATAATGTTGTCTGGACACTACCAGCACAATGTTAGACAATCTGTCAGTTGGGTCCTACACTACAGTGGCCTGGAAGAACACGTCAGCATTTTTTTCTCCTTTTTTTCCTGTGTGCAATTTACTTTCCTTTATCTTCTGTTCGTTGCTTCTTTATTTTGCCTAGAATCGTGTACTTGTCTGATAATTATTTTCTATTCCATTTTTTCTATAAAAAAAAAAACACAATTTGCCAATGGGTAAAATAAAAATCAAGGAAACAAATGACAATGACTATTGGGGCATTGGGGCAAAAATGCACTATTGTACCTTACCTACAAATAAGGAAACCTACCTGTTCTATCTAATAGTATTTTTTTTATGTAAGCTTTACATGCTTCTTCTCTCTTCTTGAGACATTTGAGAGTTTTTTTTCTAATACATTGGGGTTAACTGAAGACATTATACATGTATGTAAGAATATGTCCTCCTTTGTTAGATTTGCATAAAAAGGGTAACAAACACTGCACACAGAAAATAAATCTGGAACAAAAAATACTAGGAAACAACAACAAAAAAGTAAGTGTTCTTATGGGCCACTGTAAGGTCCATTCTAAGGCCACACCAATTTAATTTCTTGGTTAACGGATTCGCCGCTTCATTTTTTTCTGATTTGCAAATAAAAATAAAAATTCAGAATCAACTGCAAAATGCTCATATTTTGCCCTGAACAGTTGAAAACAGTCCTTTTCTTCCTAGTTGTTACAGTTATTCCATCTTTCAATGCAGGAGTATCATTAAAAGTTCAAAATTCATTGTTTAGATTTTGAACCAGCCTGGTGTGTTGACTTCATGGCTCCTATCGTACCATTTTGGGCCATAATAGGATGCCTAGGCCTGTTTTTATTTTTATTTTTTTTTCGCCCGCCCGCTTCATTATTTTTCTAGAAAAATCCGTTAACCAAGAAATTAAATTGGTGTGGCCTAAGGTAAAAAAAGATATCCTGTTATTCTACCACTAGTACCAGCCATCACCAAATGAACATGTAACATGACATGTACCTGTATGGGAGGGGCAGGGGGCCCCAGCAGCTGCAATAGAGGAAATGGAAATTATCTTCAACATGGAGCAACACAGTATTGAGTAAGGCCACACTGACTTCATTCTATGGATGACATCCTCTGAAGGCCCCCGAAGTACAGTAGTGTGTGTGGGCGAATAAAAAAAAAAATTACAGCAAAAAAAAAAAAATGCTGCTAAACCACAGGAATATACATTCGTCTGTACGTGTAAAGCTGGTATTGTGAATTTGCAGTACATAGCGACGTATACGACAAGTCGACACATGCTGGCTTTTTGCAGCATTTATGAGTTGGCACTGTACTGAGTTCTTAATTTCTGTAGAGCTTCAGCAGCCTGGATGCCATCCTCTGTAGTTACCACCGGCTCTCTATTGTCGCTAGCTACCATGGACTACGGAGGATGGCACCCAGGCCAGAGCCTCGAAGCAGGTGATTTTTGTATTGTTGAGAACGGGCGAAAATCAATGCGTGCGCGTATGTCATCCATAAAATTAAATCAGTGTGGCCTAATAAAAGCACATGAGAAGTGAAATGAAGTATTGAATGTCTGTATGCACAATGTATGCAAATGTATGCACAATGCATGCAATGTAGGTAGATATCAATGTAAAATCCTACTGTGACAATAATTTCAAGAACAATGTTGCTGTGAAAAAGGTGACAGATGGTCACCAAAATATCAGATATGAAAACCCACTGTTTGTTCAAAAAAGGAACCTTCTGTTAATGAAGTAAAACCCGAGTCGGAAAATTTTGGACCCTTTGATCTAGTATAATTACGTGACATTCAACGTAGTGTATAATGTAGTATCATACACATTCAATTAAATAAGAGATTGTTTTTCTATGTGATATCTAAATCTGGCTGCACTTTCAGTTTCAGAGAACATGATAAAAATTTGTTGGAACACATTTGTTATACAGATAGTGACATCAGTGCCAATGATGTTGTTAGGGTTGTTAAGGCAATGTTAGCCTGCCAATAAGAACGTAAGACTCCGGCAAATACATGTACATTGGTGCAGAATTATAGAAGTATTATATAGTTATATTATTCAGTTTGTATTCTGTCTCAGACTATATACATGTAGATGTAGGACACTCCATATATAAATTCAATCTGAAGGTTGTCATGTTAATTAGAGTAATATTACTAACATGACTGTCTAATATGTGCACATTTGACTGTACAGTACCTGTAGTCTGTCTGTTATGCCTTCGTCCTGGTAAGCATGTTGTATTAGTATGTTACAGTAGAATGTTATTATTAATAATTATTGGTAATAGCGAGCTGTAATAGCAGCAAATTTTAGCAGACTAATAGCAGACTAGACTTGTGTACATCAATTAACTGTACAATTATCATGATCTATCCTGAGTATTTTGAAGACTCAAAAACAAAGAAATAGCCTGGTTGCCAGACCCAATGCAGACTAGGCTAACTGAGGGGGTTGTGGTATAATTTCTTTGGGGAATGGAGGCAAAGAGCTGGCCTGTGCAGGCCCTGGAACAGTCTGGCACCCAGGCTAACAAAGAAAAAAAATGGAATTTTCCTAGCTTTCAATGCCAAAAAATTTTGAAATACATTATCTACCGGTAGATGACAATGTCACGTTGGATGTAATGTGGTATCTGATTGACCGGTCGACCGTATACAACTACAGGTACAATGTACATGAATATATATTATGTAAATTACTATTCAGCATGATACAAATTCACTCCATTCACATGTCAAGTCATGTCTCTACAACACAACTTGAACATTACTAATACTAGTATCATGATAGAATGAAATCTTTTTGTCTCACAACACCCTACAGACAACTAATCTACTGCCTGTGAAACCACCATCTGTCCTGGTTGATTCTTGTATGACAAGACCTATTCTGGAACACCATCTAACTTAAGATTGTTATTTGTAACATAAAGACAGCTGAGAAGGAGTGAAGAAATGATATACATGTAATACAATAACTGAGTGTGTAGAGATGAAAAATCAGCTCAGAAACTACAGCTGATTCTGGAAACAAAAGTCCAGAGAGATACATGTAACACATGCACACCAGCTGACAACTCACATGTGGAGAGAACCTTACCTTGTGTGTTGGTGTCCTCTTCCTCTCTCTTCCCAATGTGCACCACCATGCCACCCTGGAACAGACTGAGGAAGCATGGGGGTTCTTTGCCTTGTAACACCCTGACCTGGGGTAGTGGGGACACAACAAAATCCTTGTAAATAAAGAAAAAGAAGTGATCTCAAACTAGTTTTAGAAATATGTCTATGAAGATTAGACATCCAGGTAATAAGATACGCCAAAAAGCAGTTACTCAAGCAACTGGATATGATTTTGAAAACGTCAGACGTATCCACTAGCTCCTACGTCCTAGCTCCACAACACTTAAGCTCCTGTTCTGTATAACAGGAGCTTTCTGACTAATTTGCATTATCTTGTCTTGACTTGTCTGACTTTTGTTCCATTTTTGACTTCAAAAAAATTTGTCTTCACTTTATTCGCATATCAATCAATAGTTTGTGCTTATAAACCTGCATTTCCCCTCTGGTCTCTCAGTCACTGACGAAAGCTAGTGGATACTAGCTGAAACGTCTGACGTTTTCAAAATCATATCCTGTTGCTTGAGTAACTGCTTTTTGGCGTAGTTTTAGAAATAATTGCACTCCTCATATGATTTCTGAACAGTTTATATAACGTCATCCACACTTCTTAAATATTGAGTGGTGCAGGTACTAGACATAAGTATATAAAATTTGCCTGGTGCAGGACTGGTAGTTTTGAATGTTACCTGCACCAGTGAAGGTGTGTAGAAAAAGGATTTTGCACCCTGATTGATTGTGAGCCAAATATGTCTACAAAACAGCTAGCGGAAATTGAACATTCTTGAAAATTCATTTTCCAAACATTTCTAAGAATGTCTTTCCAGGGACTTTACAGGGTCTTTTTTGAGAGGACTTGCTTGTTGTACTTTTCATTGTTCACAAAGTCTCTGTCAAAATAACTTAAGAAAAAACTGTGAAAACTCGCAAGCACTACACAAAGCCAAGGCAATTTAGAGGGCGGGACGCAATTAATTAATGGACAGATGCTAATATCTTTATTAGTAGTATACAGGGTCTTTTTGGGGAGGACTTGCTTGTTGTGTGTTCCATTGTTCACAAAGTGTCTGTCAAAATGACTTTAGAAAAAACTGTGAAAACTCGCAAGCACTACACAAAGCCAAGGCAATTTAGAGGGCGGGACGCAATTAATTAACGGACAGGCGCTAATATCTTTATAAGTACGCATTGTGGTAAACAAAGGACTGTCTCCTAGGGGTGTCCCTACCTGCGAGGTGTGAAGAGACTATGGATATAAAATGTCCACCTTGGGTTATTTCGGTGTTGTTTTTCAGTAACTATGTCTACTTGGCCTTTGTTCAGCAATGTCTAAATCATGTCTAATGTCCGCTAGACGTTCTATGGACATTTTTGGCTCTATTAGTCACATTATACATAATTATACTATTATAATTACATATAATTATACATGATGATTTTGGTATTATACATAATTATACATAACCCTTTGGACTGTTATACATAATTATACATAACCCTTTGGAGTGTTATACATAATTATACATAACCCTTTGGACCATTATCTATAACACTTTGGACCATTATATATAACCCTTTGTACCATTATACATAAAAAAGGTTAAGTATAATTATGTATAATGCCAAAATCATTATATATAATTATGTATAAAGGATAAAAGGTTTATGTATAGTTATGTATAATACCAAAATCATTATGTATAATTATACAAAATTATAGTATAGTTATGTATACCCTTAATTTGACTATTCCCAAGAGACTCATCAACGCTTTCCGCATATTCATTACCACCTAATATGTTACCGTAAAAAGTATTAAGACAGTTGGGTTAAGGGTTTGGGATTCATGAGCGGGAGTCCATAAGTTTAACTAAAACGTTTTTCCATAATTACATCACGGCTTGTTAATACTGACCTGTGGACCTCTCTCTTCATCCAGCTCCACAGTCATGAGAGCAGACGCCCCCTTCTCATTCACAGTGCTGTCCTGACCCTGCCAGAAGAAGTAGGCATATCTCTCCCGCCCAACTCCCCCGCCTATCCGCTTAGACACCCCACCATGTAACTTGGAACCTAGGAAAGTATGATTTGATTTGATTTATTGAAATTGAAACAGTACAATACACGCTGAACAGAGGCAGCTGATGCTGGTGTTGTGTCCCGCACATAGAAACGAATAATGGACAGACAATATTCATTTTCTCTCGAGTCTATAGTACTGGGGAAAGTCGTGTAATTAGTGCCTTTCCCTAGGGCACAGGATCGGTGGCATGTCAGGACTTGAACCCGAGACCTCTTGATTCTGAGTCGCGCACGCTGCCATTGTGCTACATGACCCCAGTGGAAAAGTAACCAATGGTAAGGCCAAGGGAAAAATGTAATTGTGTTTCCTGTTTCAGTCCCCCAAAAATTAGGGTCAATAGGTAGGGAATAAATTATCTTTTCTTCTTTCTTTTTTTTTAGACTTTGGCAATCTCTACTGATCCTACTTGTACAATACAGTTCACAAAAGTAGAATTTACATTAGGACACTTAAAATTTTCAATTTCAATGTTGGAAAACTGATTGTACAACGTTTCATCACTCAGGTGTCAGATCATGGAGCTAGAAAAGGTTGATCAGCTCGAAAAATTATTGTCCTTTGCAGAGGTCGACACAAAAATAGGCTAGGGTCAGCACTTTTTTCTAGGATCGGTCGGGAAACTGGAAACACAATATTTTTTTCTCAGGCCTTATGTTAACATCATGAAGGCCAACAAATCTTGAGATAGACTGTGACTTGCTTCCGATATATTCCAATAAATCAATGAGGTTGGTTGGTACAACATAGCATGGAGGATACAAACTTAGCCACATTTGGGATTATGTTCCCCAGTGTAGCTAATTTCATTTGCAAATGTTTTAAATATATTGTTACTAGACTGTACCTGTTACCTTTCAATATAATAGGTACATGTATGGCCTAAATAAAAATGCCCTTGAAACGATGTGCATACAGTCTGTAGCATGCTAAAGTTAAGGAACATTCAAGAAAATCTGCTATTCCTACACTGTATAACTCGTAAACTACATGTACACTGTACATACCAGATTCCACTACAGGTGCTGCACACCAAGTAATTTGAACTGTTTAGAAAACTAAATAATAATGTCCAGGGAACTGACCAACAGTGGTGATCTGGTAGTGCCACCTGACCACATAGGTGTCACCACTGTGAAACTGCCCGATGCTGTGACTTGGCATCTCACTGCTCTCGTACTCAAGAACATGCCACATTTTGGTCCCTGTAAAAACACAAGAAATGTTACATCAACAATCATCTAATACATCTCTTGACATACCAGATTATTTAATATCTGATTGAATGAAAATTTGCATGTAAATGACAAGAATTCTGACTTTGAAAAAACTGTTTTTCAAGCCCTAAAAACTGCACTGGGCACCTTTAAACAATCCTTGGTAGTTAAGGCGGCAGAACACAGTATTTTGGGGCGGGTATAGAAAGTAGTGCAGACAAACCTCTTGCATCCTGGCTAAAGCGACTTATGTGAGAGGTAGCCATGAATGAACTGCGCTGTGTGGTATAGAAAGGTATCGGCTTGTACACCGTATGAGTTGGATTGTGACGATTTCCCCGTTCGTGTATAAATGCGCGGCATTACGCAACAACGTTCCGGGGTGAGCCGGCTGCAGTTCCGTTGACCCCGGTAGAGGGCCAAATCAATGGTCGTCATTAGGCCACACCAATTCAATTTGTTGGTTCTCGGATTTTTTCAGAAAAATATGAAGCGACAGGGCAAAAAAAAAA